TTCAATTAGCATAATTTTCATTCACTTAATGCAATGTTACTTCATGTAAAACATTAACTAAGTTCAAATGTCAATTACTAACCCAAAAAAAAGATTTTTCTCTCACAAACGTAAACACTTGGAGTATCAAAGTGTTTGTAAACTATTGTCGTTCTTCTTATTCTTTCTTTGTCTTGTTGATCTTCAACTTCACACCATGATTCAACATTGTTAACTCCACTGTGACAACTACTTGTTCTCGTAGTGTTTTCATCTTTTTTTTGAGACACAAGCATCGCTACGGTCTCACGCGCCACTTTTTGTCATGTATAATTATCCATGTCCAATTTCTTCAACAAGTTTTGAAGCTCGATTGTTTTGTTTGTTGCTTTTTGTATCTCTTTGTCTATGTGATTGAGTAAAATTTATGCATTTGACTCCGTTTATTTTAACAATATTGCAATTTTTGTTGTTGTGTTCTTTCATCAACAATATCAATCTCTCATCTTGAAGAAATGAAAATGAGAAAGTATATATAAAAAATGAAAAAGAAACAATTTTTAAATCTCCATCATTTTATTATTTTTAAGGAACATGGTTTGAATTTAGTGGAGATAGTGGGGTATTTGAAAAAAATGAAATTAGAAAGTTTTGGCAGTAAATTAAATATAAAATTATTGTTTAATGATTGATTTGATGTTTTAGCTATAATTTAGGGGTAATACTAAATATTAATCATTATCTTAATGTTGTCATGTCATCATTTAACGGAGATGATGGTAGAGTGATCATTTTGTTACAAATTCGTAACGTCAGTGACCATTTTGTACAAATCTATAACATTAGTGACTAATTTATCACTTTTGAAACTTTAGTGGGAAAAATGGAAACATACTCAAACATTAATGACTATTGGTATAGTTTGCCCTGTAAACATTTATTCAATATATTATTATATTATTCCATGAATGTGATTCATGCATTTACTTTATAAACATATTAAAATAAAGATGGACAAACAATGATTGATTTATCTAAATTCAGCTCGCCAAGATAATATTATTAGCATATATATATATATATATATTACTAAATTTTTTTGAATGATACGAAATTTGATGTCTCTTAAATAAAATTTTAAGTTTGAGCTTAGTGAATAGAGGAAACAATATAGGAAGAGTTTGTTAAAACATAGACTAGCCTATACTTAGACCGTTAAACAAATAGGTAGGACAAAGATGGAGGCGTATGTATATTGAGAGGGGACAATTGCTTTATAGTCCCTCTTAATTTTGGAGTTGGGTAAATTAAGTCTGGACTCAAAATTTTAGGTTTGATTGTTTTCTAGGTCATGTCAATTTTAAAACTAGGTAAATTAAGTCTTGGTTCCCCAACTATCTTTGGGGTCAAATTGCTTTTTAGATTCTTTTTAATTTTGAAGCCAGGGACTCTAGTTTAAATACTTCTCCATCAATTTATTATGATTTATGACTTCCGTGAAAGTTCATCCCGACTCTAGTCTTAGGTTAAAGATACTTGTAATTTACATTAGAGAAAAGAGTTCAACCCAAACTGATTTTAAACTTTATTAGAAACCCTTAAGACTAACAAACTCTAAGACCCAACCAATAGATGATCTAAAATTTCAATATAACGAGGATGCACTGCCGGCAATACCATTCATTGTTTTTCCTATGATTTGCCAAACCCTAATGCATGATTTTAGGAACAGGTGCAGTTCGGTTTACCCTAGCTTAGGTAGGCCGGCTTCAGGCACATTGTTGCTGCTTTCCCTTTTGTTTGTCAATGGAGGATGGCTACCATTTTAGGTTTTTACTTTTCCTTCTTCTGATGGATACCATTCAAAGGAAGACTATATGACACGAGACTGCAATGTTACGACACCTAATAGATGATATCATAATTTATTTTCTGTAATATGATTTTATAAAATTTTAACTTTACAATATTTACTTTTTAAAAGTTTAAATATAATATATTTTATTAAATAATTAAAAATAATATATATTTAATTATTATTCAATTTGTATTTGTGTTAAAACGTGTTATAGAAACTGAAACAGATATGATTTTAACAACTTTTGTAAGAGGTTTTATTTCAATCTCAGCAAATTTGAAAATTATAATAAAATCATCCAATTTTGTAAATAATTTCTTGAAAAACCATATCCCCTATTCCCCGAAACATTCTCCTTAATTTTTAATTTTATTATACAAATTTTTAATTTTTAATTATACTCTATATGCAAATTCTCTTAATTTTTAATTTTATTAATAAATTAAATTTAATTTAAAATTTTTCTCAAAATAATAGCCATACAAATTCTTGATGAGGAGTCGCATGGATCCACCACTTGTATAACTAGAATCGTACCAAATTCGGGAGAATAATAGAAACCTAGAGAGTATAGACGGGTTACAGACTTTCCCACGCGCTTGAACAGGCGAATTGGTCTAATATAATAGGCTGCTACTTTTATCTAAACCAGGTCCCTTAACACGCGAGCTATACGCATGGTTCGAATTTTAACTGTGTATTTGCCGTCGCCAAGTGTACAATCCCCACTCTCAATACACCACCGCGTGCTTCAACTTTTTAACTCTATTTAAAAATCAATTTCTGATCGTCCGATTAAGTTTCCAAATATCGCAAACCGACGATTGGATAGTTTTTCAACAAATAAATTTCAACCTGATTCGAAGCGGTAAAGATTTGGACTGTTTCGGGCGAGTTTACACTAAAAACGGCTACGACTCAATTTGAGTACCGAGTCGGAAATGGAAACGTATGTACACAGAGTTCTTCACTTTGTAATATACTCTGATGATTCTGATACTGAAAGAAAAAAAAAGGATCAGCCAAAGACACCTAACGATCGTTAAAAGTTAAAATAAAAATAGAACCTTAAAATGCCTGAGAAAACAACATTTCACAGCCAGAGGGGTGGCGGTTCATTCAAATCAATAGGCAAACCACGTCGAACAATCCCCAAAAATGACGCCGTGGACCCATTTTCCGGAACCGGAGGACCGGTCGAAACACCAACAACACCGGTTGGTCCCGTCGATGGCATTTCTTTGATAACCCCAGTTTGAAGAAACTCACCCATGGCGGCTAAATGGTGGTGATGATGATGGAGAGCTGAAGCTAAAGGCCAACGACGGTAAGAGGCAAGATTGAGATCCAGAGAGAGAGCCGGAGGCGGAGGTGGAGGTAAAGATGATGGGGTGGTGGGGAAGTTGGTTTTAGCTTTGGAACCGCGGAGGGATCGGGCGGCGCCGTCGTAAGCGAGTGCAGCTTCTTCAGGTGTGTCAAATGTACCCAACCAAACCCGAGTCTTCTTCCATGGGTCGCGTATTTCGGCGGCGTATCTTCCCCATGGCCTCTTCCTTACTCCCCTGTAGTGTCCTTCTCTTGAAGACGACATGAGAGCGAAACAATGATAAACAGATACTAAAAACCCCTGCGGCTGTTTTGACTGTTTTCTTCGTTCCTTCATGACTCCTATGTATATATTCATGTGTAATTTTTTAAATTTTAAGAATTAAATATTTTGTTTTTGAAATGACAGTATTATTATAATATGTCTGATATTTAATCTTTTTCTCTTTACTGAATTATAACAATACTTTGAATGTATACTTTTTTGTGATTTTTTAAATTTAATTGTTGATACACGAATCTCTTTTAATCAATTAATAATTATATTTATTTATCAAATAAATAATTATTATAATTTATTTTTTATTTTATTTTACAAGATTTACCAACAAATTAATTAATACAAATATGAACATATTGAAATTTTAACAAAAAAGAAAAAATAATTTGAAGACAAATGAAAAAGTCGAAAAGCCCTAGATAGCCGCCGCCTGACAAAAATCAGCGGCGATGATTACGTATGCCCTACTCTTTCTTCTATGCGCAGCCTTGAGCGGCACCTGCCTTTTAATATTAAATACATATAAAAAAGTAAGTGGGATGATGATTATTATCATAAGCTGGGGACAGTGTGGGCATCAGCAGAGTATCAGAGTGGAAGGGTGGGTGTGTGGCGTGTCGGGTAGTGAGTGGATGATTGTAGCAGAAGAGAGAGAGAGAGCCCACGTGGGAGGTACATAAAAGAGGTGTCTGAGTTGCAGGAGACAGGACCGAGTTGGGAGGGGACTGAGTTTTAGTGCTGGCGTGTTGGACTGGGTTTTGAGAGTTAGAGGAAGAGGAAAGAAACTGGTCTGGTGGGACTGAGAAGGGGAAAGGTGTACGGTGAGGGAAAGTGAATAGACTGCAGGTTTACTGACATATCGTCACGTGAAGTTATTTTCTTGGGTTTATTTTTATTTCACTTTTGTTTTTGGATTTGTTGGTTCCACGACACGTTGTTGGGTATAAATGCTTGAAAGCCACTAGTGCCAAGAGATTCTTCCTTTTCTATCAACATAATTACTCAAAATGATAAATAAAAAATAGTGTGTAATTATTTCATCCAACCTTTATTTTCTCCAATTTAGAGAGAAAATCATAATTGATAAAAGAAAGATAGTTAATTGATACTATGAATGAAAGAATAAAGGTCAAAAATTAGTCTCAGTCGCTTTCTCAATTATGACCCCAAACTATTTATAGTAATCTTAGTTGATAGTATTAAATATGAGTTTATCTAAATACAGAAATTAGTTCTTGAATCTTATTTTATTAGATGAATTTATTAGAGATCTTTTTATATATTATAGGGTGCTCGGAGGTTATCTGTTCTTTAGAGGCTTTAGCAAGCGAAATATCTTTTTAAAGACTGTTTGATTGAGAACTGATAATTTTCAGATGAAGCTTCGGAGATTTAAAAATATTAAATTTATATTACATTTTTAAAATATAACTAATAACACTATCGATAGTCAGATTGACCTAAAACACACTGATTTTGTATTCGTATATGCACTTGTTCTTTCTTTGCCAAGGTTTTACAAGTTATCTTTCTGCCCAACTTAATTTCAAAACTGAAGAAAATGTACAAGCTAAATGAAATGCCGCATTTAGTGTGATTGTTGGGGGTATCTGACCTGTTTTGGCAGAAATATCATGAACTAAAGAAACTGAGATGTCTGTATCAACCGATTTAATCACGATAGCAAACTAGGTCCATTCTCGGCGGCTGTCCGCGTATTGCCATGGTTATGATGATGATTGTGATGCCTTGACATCTGGATATCACGCGAGAATTGAGTCCTTGCTTTTGCATAAGGAGCACCTCTGGCTGCACAGGGAACACATAAATGTTGAGCTTGTTATATTTTGTTAGGAGATTTATGCCAACAGTAACTAACTAACCTGCCATCTGCTGTGCTCGAAGAATATTCTGCCGTCTTTTCCAATAACAAACCGAACAGATAACTAGAAGTAAAAATGCTAGAGATGCACTGAAGGCGATGCCGACCTTTGCACCAGCAGAGAGGTGCGGTCCACACGTACGTAGTCCGGGTATGCCGCAGAGGCCGGCATTATCAGTAAAACTACAAGCAACAAAAGTAGGCGTTTGATACATAGAACTTGCAGCAACTGGCATCATCATTCATCAAAGGTAACATTTTGGACAAATACTAATAATAACAATTTAGGGCATACTTGAAGCTAGCTCCATTCAAAAGCCTTCCTCCAAGCGCAGCCGGGACTCTTCCAGACAGAGAGTTGCCATTAAGATTCCTGCACCATCACAACATAGATCAGACCACACAGTCTACACTGTACTATGCTCAGATACAGGGTTAATCAACAAAATGAAATCTTACAATCTGCGTAATGCTGTCAACTGTCCTAGGCCTTCAGGAATTGATCCGTTGAGGGAATTGTAGGAGAGATCCCTGCAATTTTTATTCAGACATCTCATGAATTAGATTGATAAAACTCAACTGAATGTAGGTACCAAAGTGAAATAGCTATGTGTTTCTTATAGCACGGACACTGGAGTTTAAACCCAAATTGTCCTTTGACAAAGAATGGCAAGTTCTCATCCAGAGTTTAAGGTCCTTTTAAGCGTGATGGGGATTGAAAGAATAATTCAATTAACAACTCCAAGGATACATCATTGATCGAGAAAACATTAGATATGGTAGTTCATAATCAACCTAATGTTGATGTTCGTGCACAAAATACTTACCAAAGTTTTAAGTTCTACATCTGAAAATATAGATGGTATCATAATCACAAGCATCTTCATTAAGGAAAAGAAATTATGCTACACTTACAAGAATTGTAAGGTGGTGACTGTTCCAAGTGATGATGGAATGGCCCCATGAATTGTGTTTCCACTCAAGTTTCTATAGAGAGTTAGAGACCAAGCACAACATAAACAAGAGATATGTATATCAGGCATATAGGAAGAGGACCGTCTGAGAAAGTAAGGGCAAATAATTTTTATGTAGAAAGCAATTACATAGCAAAAAAAGGCAAGTTTAAAAAAATTGTTAAGAAATTATTTGTACTTACAAGCTCTGTAGGCGATGTAGTTTGGATATTTCATCAGGCAAGAACCCCTTTAGACCTTGGTTGTCAAGATCACTGATCATGAACAAATTAAAAGGAAATTACTTATGATATGCCATCATAACTGATAAAGACAATGTATAATAAGCTTTCAATAAGTTTGCAAATAAAGGTTTAAAGCATTTGTACTTTAGGTTCAGAAAATTGATACATTTATATTCTGGTATGTATATATGTACACCCTTGCATGGTGTGAAAAACGTGACATTGTTGGCCGGGGAACGGCTATGGAGTTGAAAGAGACAAGCGGCAGCTAGGTTTTAGTTTTATGTATTATATGAGATTAGGGTAAGAACAAAGTTAAAACCAACACAAGAAATGAATCAAATTTTTAAATTGGATCAAAATCTACTCTTAGCCAGTTACACTTGTAGCTTAACACACCATAACCAAATAAATCGATAAACAATCTCAACTAACAAACTCAAGCCCGTTACAAATAACCAAATACCCAACTAATTCATAACCAACTATAACACACACCCGGCTTAACAGACTAAAGCTGGCCGAATAACAGCCCAATCCTAACTGTTAACACATGGCAAGCAGACTTCAAATAAAACTTATGCGATACCATTCCAAAAGCTAATATGCACATATGATCATTTAGCCACCCCTTGCATTCAGAACACCAGGAGCCACAGATGATGTAGGAATAAATAAAGTGCAGTAATTAGGGCCAAAGAGGTTAGGTAAAACCAAATGGAAGAGAGGGGATCAGTGGAAGCAGTTTCAACTTATATTTTCTTCTCATATCTTATATGCGGCGGTTTTAACACACAAATACAAGGTATAAAAAACCTTTTAAGGAACTCCGAAAATTCTTGAACAGATAAGATTCATTTGCTAGCAAATGGGAGTAAATGAAGTGGTTGAGTAACTAGGTAACAAAATTCCACTGGGTAATTGAGTGAATACGTGTCTGTCTTTGGCATTGAAGTAGAACACATTCTCATATTTATTTTACATGACACAAACAAACTCTAATGATTTGGATTATAACTTCAGAAGAAAAACTCTATGGCATAGTAACAAAAGGATGAAAACAATTTTATGATTAACAGCTTACTTAAGGTGGAAAAGTTCATGCTCACTAATGTAGATCAAATAAGTTAGAATTGTCCTATTTTTCATTGTTCAACAGAAAACTATCAATATAAATTTTTAGCATATCAAGAACAAAGAAAAAGCCATGGCATAGACATCAGTATACTCAAATAAAAAACAACAGAAGCAAATTGATAAAAAGAGTGTCTCAGAAGAAATTAATAAAAACTCAATGCTAAGGCAAAAGCTCAAGAAGTTACAGGCCATCGATGAACCAGTTGCTCCCAGATTTATCAAAATGACAATCAGCTCCACTCCATGGATGCTCCTTGGGGACACATGGGTCTCCATTCCACCCAAAACGAGTAGGAAGCCCCAAAGCTTTCTTCAATGCATGTAAAGCCCTAACTAGAATCGGGAATTATCAAGTTAGTAAATGTCTTCTAGAAAGAAACCTTGCTCATAAGCATTAAAAAACAACTTCCAAATTCCAATGTCCTATAACACAACAGAATAAACAGTCTGCATAAGTAATAGAAGAAAGCATTACCTTCGTCCAGTGAAGTTTTTGATTCAGCTGCTATAACTTGAAAGACTTCAATAGCATTAAGGATAGCATGGTTGCCACTTTTAGGGTGAAGGGTTATAGTCAGTGTCCTACCACTAACAGCAGTTGTTCTGTTAAGTACAAGTGCAGTATAGCGGTCACCACTCCTCTTCACAACATCTATGTTTTCAAATACAGTGTCACCATTTATCATAACATCAAATACCCTTTCGCCTGCACCTCTGATCGAAGAGTCAATCTCTGCGAAGTGTAACCATATTGAGTAGTTCTTATTGGGATCCACGTCCATGGTATAAGCTAAATCTGGCTGGCTATCAGTGCTAACAACTGCACTTTGATAAAGGGCTTCTGGATAGAAGTTTGGTGCATCTGAAGCTTGTTTAATGGCATTTTCAGTGGATCTCGGTTCATCAGCATTTTGGCCAAAAGTTCTGATGGGGTGCCAATATCTATCTCCACCCCAATGATCGCCGCTGTAATCTTCATCAAATCTTGGCTTTGACGTGCCACAAGTCAGTCTTGAAGTTGTTTTCAGGATTACACCTTTGCCCCATTCGGGACCAAAATTGTATGCTTTATCATCAACTTGAAGAATTTCAATAGAAATAATCGCTGGATCTCCATGACCAGTGCTATGGAAACAAATAGATAATGTGCCATCTAAAAGAAAAACAAGGGCTTCAACAAACGATTGTTCATCATTGCTGGTCCAACCCGATTTCAGTGAATGAATCAAAGTTCCTTCGACAGATACATCAAATAGAGGTTCATTGTCAAAGTCAGGTTGTGCAATTAGTCCAAAGAAGATCCTAACAGTATAGTGTCCCTTTGGTACTCTATTTATACCATAGCAATTTTCAGGACCTTCAGATCGAGGGAAATATCGAAGTGTTTTTAGTGGAGGAGTGATAAAGCTTGGACTTGTGGCATTATCTGGAATTCCACCTGTATATCCAAAATCTTTATACCAATTCGCATATGTTGGTGGAGTTCGGACATTTTCTCGAGCCCCACAGCTTATGCGCATAGCAAAAGGTGCTGCAACAAGAAAACATGATTATTTAGTGGCAAGAACTAACCAAATAAGAATCGGTTACTAGATAAATATGAAAAGTGAATCTTATCTACAAACTCTAAGCTACAGCCTACAACTCAGTCTCACTGATTCAGAAAAGTCAGTGCATACGATTTTCTTTTGTTTTCTTTTCTCACAAGACAAAGTTCCATATAGACAATTATACATACACTTTTATTTTAACTTGATAATATTCTAACGGCTTTTATTTTAACAACTTGATAATATTCTAACGGTGATGAATCCTACTGGCATGGAACAGGGAAGCATACCTACTGTATCCACAAGCAAACCATAAATTGTTCACATTGTTCATCTGTCTGGCCATAGCAGAATTGTTTTCTTTTCTAAGTTTTTTTCATTAAAAAATGTGTACATTTATGTTTTTTTCTTTGGATCATTTTCCTACATTTTCTCGCATCCAAACATGATCTAAATCGATCAACTCTTGGATAAAGACACTGTTGACTTAAAGTTTCCAGCAAAAACAAATCATGTTCCCGGATTCCATTGGTTTTAACTCAATTTCACAACTCATTAAATTCATTGAGAGAAACAAAATTCTCATTCCAGAAAACAAAGAAAACTCAATCGACCAAATCAACAAAGTGAAAAATGAAGCTTAATCAAAATTCATATAATTTAGACTCCAAATGCAGCTAACCGAATCTCCAAGTAACTAAAAAAATCCAGATAAAAAATTAAATCACAAATTAGACGAAAAAAATACAGTAGAGGAAGCTAACCAGGCCAAGGTGAAGAAGAAGCGGAATATTGTTTCCACACACACACACACAAACAATTACATCCTCCGATTTCGTTACTTTCGGCTCAATCTAAACAACTCATTAACATCAACGCGAAACATAAAACTCTCATGTCAAAAACCAGCAAAAGCCAATCCACCAAATCACCAAAGTGAATCATAAAACTGCGACTCGTTTATTAGAAGCTTGATCAAAAGGAATCGAATATACACTTCAAATACAGCTAACCGAATCTCCAAATAAAAAAAATCCAGATTACAAAATTAAATCACAAATTAGAGAAAACAAATGCAACAGGGGAAGCTAACCAGGCCTAGCTGAAGATGAAGCGAGAGATGAACAGAAAACAAGAAACAATAACAGAGTAAATCTCAGCATTTTTACTCTCTAACTTAAGCTTAAGCTTCGGTTCAGTTCCTCTGTGCTTTAGCTTTTCCTCTCCTTGTTGCTCTTTCGCTATAGCCTCATCATTTTCAAATTTCTCCTTTCCCTTTTTGTTATTATTTCTTTGCTTTTTCGGAGGGAGAGAGAATGTGTGCGTTTTTGCAGGGGACGTGATTGCAGCACAAACTGTTGTGCAGAAATATTGCATTTTAAAATTTCTTCATTACGTTGACTAATGATACAAGGGGGTTTAATTTTTCTCTCAATCCTTGTTCTTTTTGGACTTCTAAATTTCTGACTATGTACTTTTAATTTTACGGGATTCATTCTTTTACTTTTTTTAAAAAAACATAAAGTTTAATTGATAATATTACCAATTGATTTTGTTAAATTTGAATGCATATTATCAATGACATTTTAATTTTTAAATAACATCTTTGAATGTTAAAGTATTGCATATTTTAAGTTTCACATAAATTTGTTAATAGTGTTTAACGTTCAAATAGAAGGAAAAAATGAGTTTTAAAGATAACATACATTAATTCAAGCCAAGAAATTGGATATGTGATAATCTGAATATAAAAAAATAATTATTTAAATACGTCAACCAGTTCAATCCTAATAAATTTGACATTAAAATAAATCAAGCATCAAAAAACCTAAATCCAAAATAATTTGAGTATGAGAAAAATGAAGTAAAAAACATTTGAGCTAGAGAAACCCCAAACCCAAGAAAATTTGAGCTCCTTCTCGTCCAAGCCCGAGATAAAATAATCTAATTTAGAAGGTAGCTCATTTCGAGCATACCTAAATCCATACTTTTACAATGTGTCTACCAAAAATCCCGGGATCTTAGACTAAAGACAATATATAAATAACAGGAATTAAATTATGAATCTCGTAAAGAGTACAAGGACTGGAGCAGAATTAAACCCAATACAGATTAGGATACACCAATTGACAGCTTAGTTTCATCGATGTTAAAGAACCATGTAGTCAGACGGCAATGGAAGTAATTGTGGGTTTAACTGAGCGGTGGAGATTTAGTGACCGGGCCTACCCATTATTACACGGATTCACATCCTTAATAATATTTTTTCATTTTTTTTAAGTTGAATCTTTATCTCTTTTCTACGTGTAAATAAATAGTGAACGGTTACTTGGAAGTTAATTTAAATTTGATGGATGTGATTCATTAAGATTAGGGGTGTATTCGGTTTGATTTTTTATCAAAAATTAAACCGAATCGAAATAAACGGTTTTTTAAAATTTAAACCGTAACCGAATAGTTAAAAACCGAAAAAACCGAAATCATACTTAACGTTACATTTTCTTTCTTTTTTTATTTTGTTTACTATCCACCATTAAAAAAAGTAACGGCGAAGTTGATGTAACATTTTTAAATTATTTTTTACTTTTCACTTAATTATTCTTTTGTTAATTTTTTGATAAGATGAAGAAGGTTAGAACCTAACATGTACCATTTTAAAAGAGGATCATACTTGTTTGTGTGAGTTGTTGGGTGTTTAATATTTTTTTGATGTTTTCTATTTAAAATTTAATGTATTTATTAAATAATTTATTAAACGTAATATAAAAAAATTTACAAGTAAATTTATTTAGTTTTGTTTGTTCTTACAATTCAATTTTTTTATACTTGTTATTAGGGCCTAAATTCTATTTTCGCCCCAGGCGACTAAAATTTCAGAAATTGGCCTGTATATAACATAACTCATTGAGTGAATTTAGTGGTAAGAGAATATTGTTCTCTCTTGAGGTCATGAGTTAAAATAGTTACATGCACATCATTAATGATTAAAAATGATTCATATATTATCTTATAATCACTCCAAATTATTCTATATATATATATAACCAAAAAGAACTCTACCTAATATTTTGAATGTCGTTATATAATTTTTATTAATTAAATAATTTATGTATAGTACAATTATTATTCATAATTTGTTAAACGCCCTTATCATAAGAGTTATAGATAGATAGACCTTCAATTTAAACATTTATATTAGATTCTAATGTATTCACCTAAAGGATGCCTTTTTCAAGGAAATTATTTATTGTTAGACATAATGGAATTCAATGTGTATTAAAAGTTTAACCTACCATGACCTTTATTTTGCATTTATGGTCGTCTTTGGACGGTAATTTGTTGCATATAAATCACTTTTTTTTTATTTATCTAGGGTAAATACAACGTGGCATATGTTTAAAGATAACTATTAGTTATTTGATATTGGACGCTTACATTTTGATATTTCTGGTGCTCGAACTCGGAACCTCGAGAAATAACAATTTATTTATCACTAAAGTCACTTGGTTCGTATTGCATATAAATCATTTGAATAAAGGGTAAAGTACAAAAATGGTTCCTACCTATAGTTCATTAATTTGTTGAGTCCCTTAACTATAGGGTATTACTTTGTTGAGTCCCCTAACTATTAAAAGTTACGAAATGATCACTCGACTATTCATATGTTCCAACCACGTTCTTTTTTTATTAAAAAATGGACGACACTTTGAGCTAAACGTTAACATGTTGATTGTGATATGATAAAATCTGATCTCAAAATCTCAAATGATTTTAATATCTCAATTAACAGGTTAACGTCCAACTCAGACTATCATCAAGTTTTTAAGGGAAAAAAAAACGAGTTTGGAACATAGGTGATTTGCAACTTTTAATAGTCAAGGGACTCAACAAAGTACATCATATAATCAAAGGATCATTTTGTAATTTTTAATGGTCGATAACTCAACAAAGAAACGCCATATAGTCAGGAGACCATTTGTATACTTTACCGTTAAAAAATTGTTGAATTGAATTAATTTTAATAAATTAAAATATATATTGTATTTTTGCTAAATATACATGATATGGTTTTTTTCTGTCTAAACCCGACTTTAAAATTTTAACAAAAATTATATCCAATCTACTTTGAAACATGATTTAAAAAGTTAATCTTATTAAATCAAGTTAAAATTTATATTATTATCATATCAATGATTGATCAACCACTTTTAAATATATTTGATTAATGGATGTATATAACAATATTATTTTAAGAAATTGCATTAAAAACGACAACAAATTAATTATTATTATATTCTTGAAACTCATCTTAATGTCACGATCATCAGTAGTTAACATTTTCATTTCTGGGTGGTTGTTTTGTTTCTTCTGATTAGTTGTGTGGATATATATTGAGAGATTATAAAAATGGTTAAGAGAATCGAATCCCATGCATGCAGTGGCGGAAGGTAAGAGGGATTAGTGGGTCATGGCCCCCCTCAAATTTATAAAATTATAATGTAGATCTTTAAGATTTAAAAAAATTAATTTGGTACTTTTAAATTTTTTAAAAATTTAGATTAAACTTTAAATTTTTTTAATGTTCTTGATTAAGCCTCTTCTCATAATTTCTAAAAATTCTCATTAAGTCTCTGAAAGTTTCAAAAATTTTAGTTAGACCTTAATTTTTAGGGAAAATGTAAACTAAAACCTACAAAAATTTTAATATTTTTAATTTAAACATATGAATTTTTTAAAATTTTACGTTGGCCCCTCAAACTTTATCATCAAGTTTCGCCCTTGCATTCATGTTAGTATGATTCTAAGCAAGCAAATGAGGTAAAGTAACAAACTGTTTGTAATAAAAATGGTTAAATTATAATGACAATCACTAAATTTTTTTGATGCTTTCACTTTGATCATCGAACAATTTAGGGGCATAAATATGATTTGTCACTTATGTCTGTATTTTGTTCACTTTTCCTCACTATTTTCAAAAAAATATAATATATGACTACTTTTTTATTATTTAATTAAGATGAGATCAATTAACTGCCATTAAATATTTTGATATAATCACACATTTAGTTAATGTTATTTACATATCCTTTCAATTTAGTCATACTTTTAATAAATTAAAATAAATTTAATCCTCCAATCAGATGATGCTACATGTCGCTGGTACCACGTGCCATGTGTCACCATTTGGTTGAAAGTAAATCAAATGGGGGCCAAAGAAATTCAGATCAAACGTGTACCTAATAATTGAGCCAAGACCAATGCTTCATCTAAAATAGACAACATAATGTATATATTTTGTATCTTAGTGTACAAATATTTAACTTAAATTCATAATGTTTTATATATATATTAACTTTTAAAAAAATTATATTAACTTATTAAATATATTTTATTATTAATTTAATTTAAACAATTTTATTGTTATTTTAATTTGAAAATACACGTTGAGTGCATTTAAAAGTATTATGAATTTAAATTAAGTATTTATACACTAAGATATAAAATATATATTATGTTGTATATCTTAAACTAAGTATTGGTCTTGGCTTAATGGTTAGGTACATGTTTGATTTTCAAAGTGACTTAGGTTTGAATCCCTTTTACCCAAGTTGCTTTGCTTTGTTCTCTTTCAACCCGGGGATGACACATGTCATCTTCTGATTGGTGGAAAAATAAATATATTAAATTAAAATAAAATTAGTCCTCTAATTGAATGATGACACGTAGCACAACACGTGGTACCATTGAAACATGCCATCATTAGGTTAGAGGATTAAATTTATTAAAAGTATGGCTAAATTGAGAGAATATGTAAACAATAGAGACCGAATGTGTGATTAATACTAAAATACCATGTCACCTAATATGTTAGCTATTGACGACAATTAACTTGTGGTGACCACATCTTAATTAAATAAAAAACTAAAGTAATTATATCTTATGTTTTTTAAAATCAGTGAAGAAAAATAGACAAAACACAAAATATAAGTGACCAATATATAGTTAACCCAACAATTAAAATTTAAATACAATTATCAAAATTTTAATTTGCTTATTATGTTCATTGTCATTAGTCGTAATTGAGAAAAACTGACGTGACATGTTAAAATTTTCTTTTAAAAAATCACGAAAGTGTCAATTTGATAGTCATTATAAAACATCACCGAATTCTTAGGATGTTTTCATTTTGGTCATCGAACACTTAAAACTTACGTACAATTAGTGAACTTTTAATTCA